CTTTATTAAGTTCACCATCATGTAAAATATACACCTCTCTTAAAGTTTGACATATGTATCAAGAACAATAACACAACAAGATTTGATTCCCATTCTAATAGAATGGGTCTGACTCCCCAACCACCACCAAAGAGTCCCAGCTCAATGGGTGCTGAGCTTCCAAATGCAAGATATCACCATATTTTGCAGAAACTCTCTGATGATGAAATGTATAAAACCCCTATTCTACACACCAAGGTAAACTGTAGTAGGATAGGAGCACAGGATGCATTCTGTCCATTTCCCAAGTGGAGATTATCTTTTGTTGACTCATCATTACAAAGTAACAGGTAAGGGTAGTTTTCCATTCTAAGAGTAAGTGTCTCACCTTTGATACCCACTATCTGAGGGTCTGGCTCTGCTCACCATTCTGACAGCCTCATCTAGCCCACCATGTGCTGACCTTCACATTATCTTCAACCACACCATGTCCACTTTCCCAGTCTGTACCTGCTTTGCTTGATGGCATCTACACTAGACCCCTCATTGTAATCTTTTGCCATGCTTCTGACCCCTTTATTTAACTGTTTCTTTAATTCCTATGGGGTATCTCACCATGTTTTATATATGAAAGCTGCTTTTAGACTAAAGTTCTATGGGCAGTGCAAGTAGGCTCTATTTTTCTTAGCATTCTTAGATACTAAGAGCCTTTTAAACAGCAGATGTTAAATTAATATTCAGACATGTAAAGAGTGGGTGTACAAGACATCATACTTATTTTGATTTAATTTCTTCTACATTTTCAATACACTGAGCAAATCCAGATCCATACACAGCATTTTTACAAAGAAACTGGAAGGAATAAAACAAACCAAGAATTGATTACATTATATATACATTTTTTTGCATCTCTTGATCACACAGACTTTACTGAGGTAATTTCTTTTTTCACAAAAATCCATATTCCAATGTTATGCTATCTTGTTCTGAATGATAGGAAATTATCCAAAGATTTTCTATTTGTTACAGAATACCAGAATTAGTATTTTTCAACCTAATAATATCCAATTAACATGTGATCCATGACACTTATAAACTTAGAATTTGGAGCTAAGTAATCCTCTATGGAAAGTAACAACATTTAAAATAGATAAATTTCCAATTAACCCATTTACTATATGAACACAAAGATGTTATGCACTGTGTTCCCAAGAGCCTCATGTTGGCTCCTCCCTAGTTAGACTAGTGGCTGCTTCCTTTAACCACAAAGTGAAGACTCTGCTTCAGACCACACTAGGGGTGAGAGGAGTTGTGGGACATGCCCTGGGCAGCAGTAGGGGAACCCTGGTTGCAGCTCTGATTCAAGTTCTCTCTTTTTTATCTCTCAAAACCTTTTGATAATGAAATGGGAGGGCACTGGGCACAGTGCTATGAACATTAGCACAAAATTCACACATTATGTGTGTATATAATAAAGCACCCCACTTCCATGTACAAAGATAATAGTCATCCTTTTTACAGCTACAGAAGACAGTGTAAAATAGGAGGGAGGTGGGGAGGGCTGGGTGGGTGGGCTGGGATGGGAGTAAAAGATAGAAAATTGTACTTGAACAATAATTAAAATAAAATTATTAGAAAGAAGACAGTGTAAATACATTATTTAAAAATCAATATATTGATAATCATTTATGCACTTTTCTATTATTGTGGGCATTATTCAGGGTAACTCATAAAAATGTGAAATGACTGGGTCATTGAAGGTAAGTGAAAAGTTTTTTTATGTTGTCGAATTGTGTAAGTTTGCATTTTGAGAATTTTTGCATCAATGTTCTTAAGTAATTTTGCAATTAAGTGATATTTTTACATAATATAATAGTAAATTAAGTAATTTTGAGCTATCTTTACCTGGCCTAAATCATATTGTTGAACTTGTTTCATAAAATATTTGACATTTTGTGCCCATTTTCATGTTCTGGAATAATTTGTGTAATGAATTTATACGTCTGCCAGTAATAAGGGAGTAACATAATCAGTGCTCCATATGCTCATTTCCCACCTTCAGCAAAATCACTGCATAGTTAGCCTTGTCTCATCTATATCCATCCTCAGACCTCAGGTTAGTGTGAGGCAAACATCAATAACAGTATTTATTCTATTATGTACCATTTTAAGGGTAAAGCCCTTTAAAAACATAACCACAATACCTCAAGGACACAGGCAGAATTCCAAGATGACCTTCTGGATTCCTGACTCCTGGTGTACATGCATCTTCTTCCAGTTAATTCATCAAACAGGAATGTGCTGCTGCTATGAAGGATTTAACAGTTCTAATTGAGGTCCCAAATCTGATATTCTTAAACTAGGGATATCCTCCATGGGTCAGACCTCATGAGGTGAATCCTTATATGAGATGGGAGAAATATTTTCCTTCTGAGAGAAATACAAAGGAGAGGGAGATTCCCCTTGCTGACTTTCAAAATGGAAGGCACTGCATAGCATAGCAAAGACATAAGAGTGCCTTGAGAATGATCCGTAGCTGACTGCTAGCAAGCAAATGGGCTTCTCAGTCCTTTGATTTCTTATAAGTGAATTCTGTCTGAAATGTGCATGGTATTGGATAGAGCTTCTGAGTCCCATATGAGAACACAGCTATCTGACACATTCATAGCAGCACTGGGAGATTTTGATTTACAGATCCCTGCCTCTCTGTGCCCATAATTCTGACCTATAGAACTGTGAGATACTAAATGTGTGTGGTCTGAAGATACTAAATTTTCTGTAATTTGTTATGAAGTTAACTAGTATACACATAAAAATGTTATGTAGATTTTTTCCTTCTTGTAATCAGAACTTTTAAGATGTCTTTTGGACCCTTTCACACATGCAATAGAGTGTTAACTATTACTGTTCATCCTGTATATGACATGCCATGTCATATCAATTTTATAGATAGAAGGGTGTAGCTTTTGACCACCTTTACCCACGTGCCCACCTTCCATACCACACCCTCTGCCTCTGGCAACCACCAATCTGTTCTTTGTATCTGAGTTCACTTGCATGTATTTCTGTATGCATTTTGAATATTCCACATATGCGTGATACCACACAGTATTTTTCTCTCCCTGCTTGTTGAAAAGTTTCTGTTGAAAGGACACCCCTTGAAAAGTACCACTTATTTCACTTAGCATGTCCTCAAGTTCTTCACATGTTGTCACAAATGAGAGTATTTATTCATTGTTTATGGCTGAATGACACATCCTTCTGTGTATGTGTGTGTATGTGTACATCACATTTCCTTTAGTCATTTATTCCTCAGTGGTCACTTAAATTGCTTCCATTTCTTGGTAACTGTAAATAATGTTGCAACAAACATGGGAGCACAGACATCCCATCACATTAATAATTTCATTATCTTTATGTAAACACTCAATATTGGAAATGCTTGATAATTTGGTAGTTTAATTTTAAACTTTTTGAGGAATCTCTATACTGTCTTTCACAGTGGATACACCAATTTATATTCCCCTCACCTCATTCACTCTTAATCTAAGGACATCCAGGTCTACAAATTTATAACTAGAAAAAGACTGGAGTAAGGCAAACCTGCAATTGATCGTTTATTCCCCCACCATGTTCTGATTGCATCTATTTTAGTATAACATTTTTTTTCACATTACCAAAGACATCGCCAATTTTGCCATGCTGTCTTCTTCAGGATCACAAAAGTGATTTAAGGACTCTCAATGTGTATTTCAAAACACAAAACTCTCACTCCTAAAACTGATATAGAACAGTAGGTCTGTGATCCCTGTCACTCATAGGCTTCCATTCTGACCCTAAATAGACTTTCTGTTGCTAGAACAACACTTGAAAATTACCTCAAAATAGGAGTCAGGGAGGTGTCTGTGCACACCAGGGATACTGGGCAACAGGCATTTCTGACCACAATGTGAAGACCCCACCTCAGACCTCACTCAGGGTGACAGAAGTGACTGGGTATGGCCCTGGGTCACCCACCCCTTGTCCTCCCAATGGCACTAAACTCTGCTTAGCGACGAAGGCTAGGTAATACACTACCTCGAGCCCCACTTTACTTTTCACTTGTTCCTTAGGAAATAGAGAGAATCTCACCCTCTTCAGTAATGACAGCTTCTACAATCAAACCGCATGGGCAGAGGCAGGGTCTCCTTTGCCTAAACACTCCCAGTGCTGGCATGAAGACTTCCAAAGAGCTGATGCTCCATTAATGCGTGTGTCAAATAAAAAAATCATTTATATTATCAAACATGTTTGAAAACAGAAGCAAATCCAGGTACATATCTTTATGACTTATATAACAAATGACTAAATATAGTGAAACAAACAGGAAATGACCAATATTATATATGTACGACATCTTTATCCATTTGTCTACAGATGGCACATGTAGTCTGTTTCCCTGTCTTGCCTGTAACAGCCCAACTGAGTACAGCACAGCTAATATAGTACATAATATTGTAATAACTACATGGTTCAGGTGGGTTGTAGACTCATGGGAATGAACACCTTGTAAGTTATATAAATGTCTAATCACTATGCTGTACACCTGAATCTAAAATTATCTCTATTTATCATAACTGAATACAAAGTTACAGCAAGCAGCCAACTTTTACTTTATCTATCCACTCTTCTATATATCTATCTACTATTGCCTATTATATTAGTGTAAACTTTTTTCACACTGTTAAAGATATCCCTACCCTAAAGCCATGTTACCTTCTTCTGGATCACAAAAGTGATTGAAGGACTCACAATCTGTATTTCAAAAACAAACCCTTACTGCTGACCTGGTATGTGGCAGTAAATGTGTGATCCCTGTCACTCTTACACTTTTATTCGGAATCTAAAGAAATGTTCTGCTTAAAAGCACACCATTTGAAAATGCAGAATACCCCCACAGAGGTTGCTAACAAGATATTCTGCACATTAGGAAGCTGCTTAACAGGCCTTTCCAACCAAAGAGGGAACACTGCATCTCCACGTCACTCAGGCTGCGGGTAGTGGCTGGATGTGGGTCTGAGGTCACCGCTGGCCTTGGAAGGACCGCTAGCCTTGAGTGCAGCTCGGGCTCTCTCTTCCTCATCTTTCAAAGCCTCTTCATAATAGCCTGGGAAGGCATCGGGGCCTTTATCATTCATCTTGGCCACAAATTCCAGGATTTTCATCTTGCTGGTCTCAGCGTGGGCTCTCGGACCCCACAGGAACTCATAGCATGGAGGATCGCTGTTGGGCACCTGCTGGTATACTAGGTATTCTTCCTGCACCAAATCTTGGGCAATAACCTTCCTGGGTTCCCCAAATATGAAGTGACACATTCCATCATAGACGCCCATTGCATTCAGGAATTCCCAGATTTCCTCCTCAGAGGCACGGTTGCCATTCAAGAAGATCATACCCAGGAGAGGCATGAGAAGCCCTCTTATTGGAAATCTCCAGGCTCTGCTCAGATTCCCATCGCTGGTGTCACCTTGATTGTCAACAAGGGTGTAGAAGTTACCAGTGGGCTTGCCTTCTTTCAGTTCTAGACCATAGACCAGATCCAGGTGAACACAAGCTTTGTTGAGAATCTCAGGAAAGTCCTTCCTGTACCATTTGTGGACTATCTTCAGCATGTCTGCCTTCCTCATGACCTCCTTCATTTGATACTGATTCAGAAGATACTCTACCAAGTGACTGGCCTTCCGGGTCAGGATATCTAGGGCAAAGCTCTCAGGGGAAAGTGAGGCCTGAGAGGAACTTTTGCTTTTCCAAACATGGCCTTTGGCTTTTCCAGCAGATCTTTTGCATGAAACACCTGCAGCGGCACTAGTGGTGGCTGGGGCACTCGAAGGTGTCTGGAGAGGACCAGCACCAGTGGCACTTGAGGGACCACCTGCCAGAACTGAAGAGGAGGAGCAAGCGGCCTCTGCATCTTCTCCTGTAGCGGCCTCAGCACTCTGAAGACTTTGTGCCTCAGCTCTGTTTTGGCGACGTTTCTCACGAGCACGGAGCTTACTCTTGTGACCACGAGGCATGATGACTGTGGTTCAGGATAGAAGACAGGAGTGTAGACTAACAGAGAGGTGATTTAGGATCCTGCTGGATGGAGAAAGAGAGGATGTGAACACCTTCAACAGGTAATTGCACCTTGGCTTTATTGAAGGCTGCCTCTGCTGGCTTCATTGAGATCGCCACACAAGAATCCCACAAGGTTCCAGTTCACCATGTCAGTCTGTCTGCTAAGAATCCCAAGGTAGAACCACTGAACCTTTACTGTCTCATGCTGCATCCTACCAGCCTTGCCTTGATTTTACTCAAGTGATACCAGGTGATGTCAGTGTAGCCCCCTTTGTTCTGACATGTAGGGTGCTCTCAGTTCATAGTTGGTATTATCATGTAAACTCTGGCCAGAGCCTGGGTACCTTCCCCTCTACTACTCTGACATTTCATGTCAACACTCCCTGGGACTCAGGAGAAGGAATTAGAGGGGAGCCTCAATCTACCTACAAATCAGGGGTCACCCACGGGAGATTTCGTTGGTTCTTTTGTTTACCAAGTTCCTTTATATCATCAGTTGTCAGTCAAGCTCCTCACCTTGGCCCCCTGTGAAGGCTAACATTTCTCCTTTCTTTAAACTGGTGGCTGGACCAACAGACCAAGGATCTCAGCTCCCTTAGACCTGATATAAAGAAATGCAGGGAAGCTCAACTTGACAACCCATCTCTGAGCTCTCCTGGGCTGATAGGTAAGTTTTGGGATGGATGATTTGATATCCTCTTTATTTAGGGTTCATTGGTTGCTGAGCCCTCTCTCATATTCCTGAATTGGGCTCTGTCAGTGAACTGTTCACAGTGAGATCCAACTTCCCCAAGACCCACTAAAGGGATCAAAGATGCCCTTATCCCAGTAAAGAAATACAAAGAGCTTATCACCCAAGATGGGGGTTCCTGAATGCAAGTTAGGGTCCTATGGTAATTGGTTCCAAACAGAATTGCAATTCAAGGTCTAAATGTGACTCCTGCTGTGGTCATAATTTCTCTCTCTGCTAATCTGGGACGACTTCTCTCACTTTTCTGTTTCCCTTGAGCAGCAACTGATTGGCACTCCAGCCTGAAATCTACCCTTGAGGTATGCCAGCACAGATTATGGGGAGGATACCATATTTTGCCATGTATAATGTACTCAAGTGTATAATCCACACCCATGTTTTTCGCCCAAACTTTCAAAAAAAGTTTTGTTTTACTTTTTAATTTAATTATTTACTTCTTTACATTTTTTATTTTAATTGTTGTTCAAGTACAATTTTCTGCCTTTTACTCCCATCCCAGCCCACCCCCCAGCCCTCCCCACCTCCCTCTCATTTCCACCCCCCTAGTTTTTGGCCATGTGTCCTTTATACTTGTTCCTGCAAACCCTTCCTCTTTTCCTCTGAAATTCCCTACCCTCTCCCCTCTGGTCACTGTCAGCCTGTTCTCTCTTTCAGTGTCTTTGGTTGTATTTTGCTTGTTTGTTTTGTTGATTATTTATTTCGTTATATAGAAACAAAACATATTATCATATCCCAGGGTATTATTTCTATACAGATATCCTTATTGCTTTCTAGAGTTACACTTTTAACACATCAGTATAAATTAAAAACATCTACATGGGTATGGATTGATACTACTCATGTATAATATGCATCCTTACTTTTCCCACGGAAACGTGAGCATTGTACATGGCAAAATACTTTGTGTCCCCACTGGCACTGGACGGCAAACCACCAGGTCTGCAGTGGTATCTATGAGACATCTGGCATAACATGAAATCCTGCCACCCATGATGGGAGGTTTCCCCATTTGACCTGATCTGTCTCCTCCTTGAGATGCACTGGGAAGAAGTGCAACTCATCATAGTGACATGCCCAATCAATCTCCCAGGGCTGAGATTTTCATTGGCCTCCTACTTTCTACGCAGGGTACCCCAGCCTCCTCAGTGTCACAACCCTCAATCCCCTTTAGGACTGGCTCCCCTTTTATGAACTGGGCTTCCTACTCTAAAGCTAGACCACCGCCTCCCTGAGACCACTTTGAAGGAAATGAGGGCCTAACTGAAACTGCCAGCTCAATCCGGGCCTCCTTTGCTGAGTTTGGTAGTTGGTGGGTGCAGCCCTTGCCTACCGCATTTACCACTAGAGAGATGATACTTCCCTTATCTGTCTTCTCTGCCCAGAGCCTCCAAGAGGTGGGCGCTGGGTTGCTGTTGTTTTCCGGCCCATTTTTCAGGATAGAGTTCAGCTATTAAGCATTCAGGTCCTGATCTTGAAAGCAGTTCAGACCTACAGATCGTCTATCTGCCGAATTGGGCTACTCCCAGAGAACAAGGACGGCCCTCTCACTAACACATTCGAGGCCAAATTCAGCCTGACGGCTCTCCTGGAACCTCTCAGAGCCCGACGGAAGGGCAGGGATGGGGGATGGGCTCACTTTCACTCTGGGAGAATTTGGTTTCTTCACCTCCCACTCAGCGTCCTCACCTTGACTCGAGAGTAGTCCCGCAAATCTGCCCTCAGACAGAAAGCTGCCAGCCATGTGGACCAGGAAAGGCCCTCACTCCCAAGCATAGTGGGTGGGTCCTAACTGGCGGGGCTGTCTGGGGTGCCTGAGAACTGAGAGCCGCGCTGGGGTCTGGGGGACCCTGTTGCTTAGGAGTGGGTGGGCCCTAGACCCTCGCTCATGGTCCGCATTTTTGTGTTTCTGAGCCTCACCTTGTTCCTCTAGTGAGCCAGGTGGTCCTGGCCACAAATCAAATGCTTACTTTCCAGAGTTCCATATGGCAGTTGCGTTGGACAGCTTCTGATGTGTGCCCTGGGCCTTACAGTTCTGACGATAGGGGCGGAACTCAGTGAGGCTCTGGCTTTGTGGGGCAGATCCTCTCCTATAGCAATGAGTGTCCTTGCCTTGCCTCGGTTACATGCAAGACTCCTGTCTTTACAGCTCTGGGGTCTATCCTACTAGGCAAGGCTGTTCCTCCCAAGAGACCACCTAGTGGAAGGTGTGGAGACTCAGTGGTAGCGTTTCTGCGTTCCCCAGGGCCCTGGAAAGTCCTGGTCCATGTGTAGACTCTATGGTTTCGGGGGTACCGTCTGCTTTTGGGGGTGCCCTCAAACACTCAGTTATTCCTCATGGATAGATTCCTGTTAGAGACCCCATCATGCCGTTTGCCATACGAAGCCTGCCTACTTTACACCGAGGACCTCAGATTCCTGAGACTTCCCAGACTTGAATCAGCCTGACATTTCTGCCTAGGACTTCCCCGAGATGACAGCACTGATTTTGTGAGACCTCCTTTCATGCTCTACGTGGTATCCTTAGTCCACTTCGGGATCCTTACTTTGACAGATGAACAGTCCTGCAACGTTGGCCTTTGCTTTCCTGACTCTGCTCATGTTACATTAATATCCCACTTTTCTGGGAATTCCATGTTGGAAATCAAGGTCATCCTCATAGGATCATGGTCCCTCAAGGCCCCTAAGGAGAGACAAATGAAGGTGAAACTCCAGGACTTAGTGTTCTGGCTGATGCCCTCTACTCTTCCCAGGCAGGATCCTCATTATATTTGTCAGAGCCTTGGACTCCTATGAAATCGGGATACCTTCCTTACAATTTTCTGTAATACATTTAATTTGGTGTGATTGCTCTCTCACTCCTCAGTCATGGGAGCCCTCATCTTGGCACCTGTCTTTTGATTAATGGCTTCCTGGGTGGTGACACCTCCCTCCCAATACTAGTATATTCTACTTCCTGCAAAGGTGCAGAAAATGGGTCCTCTCCATGAGTGGTGTAGAGATAGGAAACTGCAGCACATATCAGAGCCCATGTGCTGTGCTGTCCGAGAAAAGAAAGCTGATACCTTCTTTCTTTTCATGAGCCTGGCTTAGGGAGCATAGAAGGATAGAGCCTGATGTGTGTGATCCCTGACTGATGTTTTGACACTATCTGATGTTGCATATGTAGCTGATCATACTGGCACTAAATACTGTCTCCTTTATTCATATCTCTTGTTTATGTGGGTATTTTAACTGCTCTTGTTATGTAGTCCATCCAGTGTTTTGGTCACAAGGTCCTCTGTTTTATCACTTGAGCTGTGCTTTGGGGTAGTAGACATAAGTGAATTAACTGACTTGTGGTCAGCTGGAAAGAGTGCTCTCCCGGAAGCTCTGGACTAATGCAGTCTAGGGGTTCCAGTCCCAGTGTTGTCACTTATTCGCTGTGTATGAGTCTCAGGTTCCGCATTTGTCATGTTTTTTTTTTAAGCCCTCTCTGGTAGGGTTCATGGATTGTGTTCAGTGTGTGTGAAAATGTGCACAGTGCCTGGAATTCATTGAGATTTTGCACAATATTTGTTATGTCTGTGATTATGATTATTTCCACCCCAGAAAATACCACTCACCTTAAAGGAATAACAAGTATGCAGTAGATATCAGCAAATATGTGGCACTCTAGTACAACACACTGAAAAAGGTGCCAACCTGATGGCTCCTGAGTTTCCATCACACGCCATCTCCCTTACTTCACAGATCCTCTGTGGTGTTGAAGTGCATACTTGTCTGTGCACTGTGGTCATGTGCAGAGGGAATAGGAGCACAGGATGCATCCTTTCCCTGTCCCATGTGCAGATTCTCTCTGGTCTACTCATGATTCCAAAACAAATGAGCAAGCAAAATAGAACCAGGGGCGTGGGCATAAGGAACAATCTGTCAGTGAGCAGAGGGGAGGGATGGAGGGAGACCAGGCGAGAGAAAGGGAAGCCTCTAGCCAAGGTACATGTAGAAAGGATCCACGGTAATGGACAACAGGCTGGGGACTGGCTGAGGGGGTAGGGGAGTGGGCGGGACAGAGGAGAGCAACAGTAGGGATATTGGGACAACTGTAATTCTACAACAATAAGAAAAAGTTCTAAAAATTAAAAAAAGAAAATAAAAGATATTGGCTAGTAAGGAAATTCCAAAAGAACTGGTAAGGGTAGCTTGTCATTCCAGGTGTAAGCCTTTCAA